GTAGGTCGCTCAGGACATAACTGTCAGCATCATCTGAGAAGTCCAAAACAAATCTCTGCTGTGAATTGTCTAAATGTCTTGTGTCGCTATAAGTATGGAGGCCAAGAAAAAAAGAACGAAGGAGAAGCAGAGTAAAGGTTATGCATGATCAAAATAAATACTACTACTAAATTATGATTTAGTATCTCAGTTTTTACTGAGTACCTTATAGATTTGACTTAGAATCTCAAAGTAAAAATTAGATTTTGGGGGGGCAGAAATTGGCTTCCATAAACTAGAAACTTAATTTGACAAAATACACCAAACTGCTCATTACATTACTGTTAAATAAATACCTCGTCTAAATGAAGGAGGAAGTATCAGAAGAAGTTAACAAGACTTAGAATCTGTCCAGCCTCTGGTACTTGACATTTCTTTCTCCATAAATGTTCTTTTCCTTGGTTAGACCAATAGATGTTTTAATATCTTTGTCAAGAGGAAAGGTTTTGGTGCTCAGATTATTGATTTCCCAGCTGCTTTTGTAACATTTTTGTGCAGTTATCTGTCTGCCTTCTTATTGGTATATTTATAGTACATATCCTGCAAAACTGAACACCTATTTTTATTACTTGTTTTTAAATAAATTTAGTTTGGTTTGATTTTATTATGTCAAACTTATGCACACAATCTGGGCAGAAGCCCCCAGCCCTCATCTTTATATGATCATATTTGACTATTTTCATGACTACTGAAAAATGCAAAGCCAGACAAAATGTATTTAATGGAGATAAACCTATGCAGATTGTTGAAAGTACACAACTACACTTCAAATGAAGAGGAAAGAAGAGCTAATATTTTGCCATTGATGGCTGCATCTATTTTACTCGTGCCGTACCTGTTTACAGGGGCCGATGTGATGACTTCCTGCGCTTTGTAGATAAAGCAGGGCTTGTTAAAAAAGTGTGCCTCACATTGGTTTCACCTACAGCACTGAAACAACAGGACAATGGCGGAGATACTGTAAAATATTCAGTGCTTCCTCAGAACCTAAAACTCCTTTTCAACACATTCGTTTCTAGCTCATATCAAACTTGCGTAATGACGATAACTCTGTTTCAGCAATTCATTACCACATCGGGGCGTATAAGCCCCGCCCCCACAAGCATACGCCACCCTCACTGTTGCAGATCGGAGCGGCTTGTGCTGCACTGTACTTTATTCAAAGTGTATTCATTCTGAACGTGTCGCGACACTGTACTCCGTTGGGTCCACAGCAACACACCCTGCGGACCCATGAGGTCGATTGGATGAACGGTTCTCGACATAATCGAAATACAAACATACACACACACACACACACACACACACACACACACACACGCTCAGAGATTCCTGCCTTTATTAGAGAGATTATAATATGATCTAATTTAAGGATTGATGAAGAAGTTTCAAATGTTAAACAGTTAGGCACAAACTAGGTTGAATGTGTTACACATGAGGAAATACTTTGGAATATTGATTTCAAAGCTGCTTTTGCAACTGGATTTTTGGTGCAGCTGACCATTTTTTTACATTAGGTTTTGTTTGGCAATTTGAAAACAAAAACTAGAATAGAGCAGAATTAGCCAATGGAAGCCCTAATGCTTTATGACATCACATTCCTTGATGAATGTTGAGACAGCAAGCTGGAGATGGAAAGTTGGATTTCTTCACTCGATATTTTTCAGCCACAATGGAAGCAACACAAAACCAGAGAGTTGTCAAACTGAAAAGAAGAAACCTGGAGAATCAGCATCATGCAGAGCTGGAAGACTCTAGAAGAAACACCAGAAACTTTGCGGGGAATTGGCATTTCAAGAGCAAGTCCCATTTTAAACCCAAGAAGGACAGAGTCAGACATGATCTGCTGGAGGAGAACGCTGCTCTCAAAGCCCAACTGGAAGACTCCCAGTTCCAACAGCACCTGTTCCACTGCAGATTTGCAGCAGCGGAGCGAAAGGCCCTGGATTTAAAGATCCAGCTGGAAGAGGTTCGCAATAAGTTTTAACTACTTTACTGCAGAAGCTGAGCGAGCGATTAAAGAGCTCAAAGACCAGCTGGAACAGTCCCGCAGCAATGAGACCAGGTCTTGTCTGGAGGTGATTCAAAAGCTGAAATTTGAGCTGAGTGAGGCTGGCATTGAAAGAGTCAATGCTGCTAACAGACTGATTCTTGCAGATAAGATCATGGCAAGCCAGAATCGCAAACTGGAAGAGGCCAACAAGAAACTGCAACAGAAAAACAGCAACCCTGCTGCAGAACGGTATGAGGAGGCTCCAGCCCAGAGCACAAAGGCCTCCCAGACAGACCTGGCAGAGAAGTTCCAGCAACAGCTCCTAAAGGCTCAGAAAGACCTGGAGGTAACAAGCTGCTAAACACGAAGAAGGACCAAGAGACACTTCGCTGTGAAATGGAGGAGCTTAGAGCCAAACTCTGCACCAATGAAGCCCTTCAAGAAAAAAAACAGGTGAAGGCCATGGACCTGGAGGAGAAGGCCAAGAAAACTAAAATCTTCACTGCACAGCACACTCTAAAGAAGAAACAAGAGGACTGGACCAGCACGGAAACCAGGCTGGATGAACTTGAGTCTGTGTTAAAGCAAGAGAGACAAAAAGTCCAGAAAGAAGAATAGATGTTGGCTGGTCAGGTTATTCACAAGAAGGACTGCAGAACATGTCTCTTGACTTGATTCTGGATATTTTCAACCAACAAACCAATAAATAAATCAACAAGTATTTATTTATTTATTTTTTGGGGCACATTAAAACAGCTCTACTCAGATCATGCTAAATGTCTTTTAGTATAACTCATTTCAAATAATTGATTTCTAACATTTTCTCATAGGTTTTTTTCCCGCAAGCACTTTTTTTCTTTCTGCCGACTTTTGTTGTTGCCAGAGGTGTGAGAAACAAGCTAAATTTAGTCCACCACTGCACGTTAGTACATTTTAAGCTAAAGTATTTGTATTTTATTTAAGAGAAGTACTTAAATAAAACACAAATACTTAATAAAATATAAATTTGAGACTTCATGATTAATGTCCACTAAATTTCAGAAGAACACGTAGATGTTTTGATTCCACTACAAACTTGCATTAAATGACTAGTTGCTAGTAATTTTCCAGAATAAGATTTTACATTTAAAATATATGAGGGGTTCATTAGATGTCATGTGCTGTTAAGATTTGCTCTTGGTACATTTCCTATAATGAGTGAAAAACTGTTACTGTACTGATAACATAATGGTCTTCTCTACCATTTTTTAGATGATATCTTGTTGAAACATTAGTTGTACTTAACTTGACTGTGCCATCTCTCAGCTTGTAGCCTGTTAATGGTGGAGTTTTAATAGGGAATCATATGCTCTGTTTGAGTTCCAGACAATATTTTTAAAAAAGAAACCTGAATATTGCCATGGAATAAAAATGCTCTTATTTCAAAGTCATGTTAAATTTAACATAATTTCATTGTAGAATTACATCTGTATAATTGTTCTGACACTGTTTAGATATTTTCAATGAAAATACAGAGATAAATAAATCCAGGGTGATAAGGCTAGTAATGCTAAGAGACACAAACGTGTGACCTGCTCTTATTCTCTACTATGAGTCGAATGTGTTTTTAAAAAATGGTGTCTTCCCCCCTCATATGCCTCACAGTAGTTTGGTCTGCTCTCTACCTTTTTCAGACCAATACCAATATCATTTATAAAAAGCAACTAGCAACAAATCAAGTGAGTTATTCCAACCATCGGTAGGAAAGCGAGAAATGTACATAAGTCTATTATGTTGTAGGCTAATTTATTTCCCTGCATGCTGCTCAGAGTAATTTCAGTCATTGGCTCACCCTCTCCTCTTGTACCGTGCGCACACAAGCAGGAGTGAGAATGATGATTACTATGATTATGGGTGTGCTGTTAGTCTCTGTCACTCATAAAAACACAGAAAGAAAACGAGTTGAGGTGGTAGGTAAGCAGCAGACTTTGTAGTGATGAGATCGTCTTGATCGTCCACCACCAAAATACTTTTTCCATTGCATTTGTTTGTGGGTGGAACCATTAAAGGCTGCAACATCTCATCTGGGTCTAATGTTCAAGACACCAGCTACTTGAGCATGACTGGTGTCAGTTTTTATGCATAAATGATCTGTATCCAAGATCTAAAACAACAGTTAAAGTCATTCAGGTTGTGAAAAGTAAAATTACAGTTACAGTACCGTAATATAACTTTTAATTTGTGAAATAGTACGAAATGCTATGATAATACCAAGGTTAAGAGAAATGGCTGCCCTCAATTTTGCTCATGAGTCCCTGATGACAATATTTTGTTCAAATTTTAAAATGATCAAAGCTGCCATCTTTGGGGGATTTTGCCTCTGGCAGCCTATGTAGTAAATGCTTACAGCTTACCATGTAATTTCAAAAAGTCTCATTTCTATGCAATGGGATGTCTGGAAGTTTCCACTGTGGTTGAGATTATTATTACAGGAATCCAGAGCCAGCTTTTTACAGCATGACTGTTGAATTATGGCTGTACTGCTTGAACCACTTCAGAGACAAGTTATGTCTCAGTCATGAGAAAGTGTCAGGATTTCCCTCATAATTCTGATATGGCTCCCCTGTATAATGGAGGTTCTTAACCCATCCATTTTAGACCATGGGGAAAAGACAAACAGAGGAAAAAGAATCTCGAAATATTAGATTTTTTTGATCATTTTAACAATTCTGCTTCACCACACTCAAAAGAAATCCCCACCGCAGCTGTTTAATAGAAGACAGGATTGATGCAAGAATGGGGGCACTTACCCAGAATACCCCATATGCATTATTAATGGTGATTAATAAATCTCTGCTCACATGTTATATAATCACTGATTTCTGCATGGGTCACCCCAGAGCTGACCAGCTATTCATCATGCAGTCACAGAGAATTCTTTTTACAAAGTATTGCTCCTGAATTCCTCATACATGCATTCCCTTCCCAGGTATCACCACAGTGCTGACTATGACCACCCTGAGCACAGTCGCCAGGAACTCGCTACCTAGAGTGTCTTATGTGACGGCCATGGACCTGTTTGTCACAGTCTGCTTCCTATTCGTCTTCGCTGCCATGATCGAGTATGCCATGCTCAACTACTACTCCTACATTGTACGCAGACCTCCTGCCAAGACACAGAGAATGGTAAGCCTGTGGTGAATGTGTGCGTAATAGGCTGATACTGTATATCAGCACTGCAGTTGCCTTTTTTTTATGTCCACCTCCACTGCAGCAAATGTTCTTCTTAGAGTAAAGATCCATGAAACAGTCCAGTGCGTGCGTCACACACTGGGCTGTACAGTGTGCATCTGTAATTAGTATCATTCATATAATGCTTTCAGTAATCAATCAGTGTGGATGTATTACTCAACATGAAGTGACTGTTAACATTACTTACCTGGGAAGTCAATCAAACTACAACAACATACAAAATGACCACAAACACGCACAAAATTACTACAAAGAAATACAAAACAACAACTAAAAGACATGAAACAACCACAGAAAGACAAAACAACTACAAAGACCAGCAAAATCACAACAAAAAGACACAACATGACACAAAGTGACCACAACATGACACAAAATGACCACATGGAGACAAAAAGACCACATCATTTAACAACTACAATGAGAAACAAAATGACAACAAAGAAACATAAAACAAGAGCAAAGAGATATGAAAGGACCAGAAAGAGACACAAAACATCAACAAAGAGATGCAAAAGGACAAGTAGTCTTTCAGTGTGGGTGTCTTGCTCTGATGTTAGAGAGGTGGGGGGCCTTGTTCATGTCTGAGCCCAGAGCTCCATTATCTCATAATCTATCCATGTGTATCAAAACTGTATTAATAATGATAATTCAAAACAGGCTTACAAAATATGATAATCTTGTTACTGAGGTGGTTCTCATTAGTTTAAGGACATTAGGTTTATGGGTGCCATAGCAACCTTGGGGGCCCTCAACTCCCATGGGCACCCATGATCAGTACCAATGATCGTGATGTAGCTTTCTGGACAAAGAAAAACTAAGAATTAAAAAAGATATATCGCTTTAAAATCTGAGTATAGTCACACTTGTACCACCTGATGAGCCAATCAAAAATTTGTAGAAAGTGTGAGTGATAATATATTTGTTCATGCAAATCTGCTCCTCTGTATTTAGGCCTGGTTTAAGTTGATTGTGTTATACAATGATATAGGTGTTGCTTCAGAGACTTTTTCCAAATACTGAAAGTAACATATGCACACAGAATGCTGGCTGTGTTTTCAGTCTAATAAAATCAGAAACTCATATTGATTGAATCCATATATATAGAAACAGTATATGTACAGTGCACAATGTCTTTGCAGGCGTCTAACATGTGTGTCTATCTGAGCACATGTGTGCAGTTGAAAACATTTCTTTTCTAGCAAATGCTCCTGTGCGAGTGCCTAATGCTATGTGTGGGCGTTCTCAAGGTTGCACCTGCTGCGAAAGCTTTAATGGCAGCAGCACTCATCTACGAAGACTGAGTCAGCCACCGCTGCTGTCATTTCCCTTTCTCCAGATTCCCCTCCCTCTTCATTATTTCCTCCCAGTGTAGTGGAGTTCTGCTGAATGTGTCTCAGGGCTAAAAAGACTGTCAGCTTGGGCTGAACAATTAAGTTGTGTTATATTCAGTCCCCTCCTCTGCCTTTCTGGCACTCCGCTGTATTTTGGCCTGGCCTGTCTGTGGGGAAGCCTCATATTTCCCTCCCCCCATCCGTGTGGCCCCTTTGTGCCGCCTACTCAGTCAATTCTCTTACTCCACAAGACACATCTAACTCTCTTTCTCTCCCTCTCTCGCCTCCCACTCTTCCTCTAAGATTGGAATAGAGGACTGGAAAAATGGGTTAAGATTTTACCCCAATTAGGTTGTCCCACATGATTTTATAAACATCAGGGAGGAAGTCATAAAATGAATTTTCTCAGGAGGTACTTATTCGGCATTCCAGTCTTTTTCAAGCTAGAGCTGCATTATGAGAATATAAAAATAATTTTAAAAAATGACTTACAATGATTCTTGTTATTATGTTTTTTTTAATCAGTAGTTTTACGTTGACTACGTAGACTATTTTACTTCATTTAATTGAAAATTCCATTTCCAAAAGTTAATACCAACTTTTTAAAAACCCTAGACATCACTATGATGTTACAAAAGCATATATCGATTCACAAATGCTTTTTGCATTGTTGGTCCCATTTTGTTGTTTGTACTGTTTTTTTATTTTTATTCTAACTGGTAAATGTACAAATGTAGAGAATGGTGGCCTACAACACTTGATATCTTGAGATCTATTCAGCACATCAGAAGTGGAGTTTGATGGAGTTTTTAAGTAATCTACAACGTCAATAAATACATATCAGAGCTGTCTAAATACACATGCCATTTTGCACTAACAATCAGTCGCACAGACTGTAATCCACTAGAAGTGGCGCAATTTCTCCACTGCAGCTTCAATAAACCATAACAGCAAAAAGCATTTTGAGAAAGGCATGCAGTCACAATGATGAACCTACCCTAACTTTCATGAACTTGTCATGTTCTTTTGCTTCTTTTTTCTTTAGCTTTGTTTTAAAACAAATTGTACTTCTGCTTGAGAAATCCACACCAGAACAGAATTAACCTTTGCACAGCAATCATCCATAATTGACCATTCACCTTCCAACTTAGTTAGCTACAAGCTTTATATCAGAAATGCAGATTTACCGTCAAAATACTTGAGTAATAATGAGAAACAATGAGTCCTTGATGAGGAAGACAAACGCAGACTGTCACTGTCACTGGCAGATTATAGCAGCTGTAGCTTGCTAATTAAACTAATATTAGCATTACACATATGCGACCATGTTACAACACTGAAGCTAAAGCTACATGTCCCAGGCAAAATACCAGCATCTTGGGTTGTTTGAGTTTAAACTTCCTCATATCCAATAAAGAACAGGACACTGTTGTAAACATTAGCCAAAACTCTACTAGCATCCGCGATCATGTTCCACACAGTGGGGAAACACTATGCATTCTAGTGTTAGTGTTTTATTTTTTACCTAACCTGTAAACCCTAATCCTAAACCAATGTAGTTAATGATGAACTCTCATTGTCTATTTTAGGTGGTAAGCTAGTTAGCCTAACTACCTACAATTGCAGCTTATGTTAAAGTGTGACACACAGTTCAGCTGCACTTTTCAGCTTATGTTTTTGGTTTTAGAAAAAAGACTCACCCTCCAAACTCTTCATATGTTGAGTCTCGCCCTTACCACAGCCCCATGCACATTGCTTCTACATCACAGCTTGGAAAGTCTGCTGTGCCTCATGATGTTTGTTAAGCTATGTTTGGACAATCTCTGTTCATGGGAAAGGTTTAGCAAATGGTCAATTCCTAAACCATAACTCTCTCTCTCTGTTTTCCTGTACAGGCCTATTCATCTTTCAACATGGGTCACACTCCACGGCCCATGATGCCCATGGGCAACTCCCTGTTCTGGCACGACTACGATGACAACTGCCTGTATGAGTGCCTGGACGGGAAAGACTGCAAGAGCTTCTTCTGCTGCTACGAGGAGTGTAAAGAAGGCGGCTGGAAGAAAGGACGGATCCACGTCAACATCCGCGAGCTGGATTCCTACTCCCGGGTTTTCTTCCCCACCTCCTTCTTGCTCTTCAACATAGTCTACTGGGTCAGCTACCTCTACCTCTAGTTGGTCTCGGGCTGTGATCCGTGGGCCCTTCTAAGATAGCCGCAGTCCCCGCCACTTGGCAACGTGGATTGAGATTTAAGGTCAAAACTAAGCGTGGAGGATCTGCTCTGTGGGAATTGTGGAAAACATGCTGCCTGTGGAGGGGTATGACTAAAAAATACATGTGTGCAGTGGTGCACAGTGGAAAGGCCATGATACTTTGAGCAGTGGCACTCAAAGGAGAATAAAACGCTCAGCAGTGGAACAACAAGACGCTGGCATTAACTTCAATGGATAGGTCCCCTTTATGACTCTCCGAGAAACCAAACAACAGACAGCTGCGACTTGAGGGATGTTTGGGGACGGGGTTGCATTGCTGAATCTTGGTCTTTGAGATGGTGAAGCACCCATAGTGCCTTCTTTAGAAAGGGTGCAGTACCGAGATACGCAGCTTCAGAGTTCCATCCATTATCGTTATTACCTCATGCACCACACCGCTGCATGCTGAGCTGTTTATTCTTTGACAAACCTGGAACACCACCACTGGAGATGTTTAAAACTAACACTCCCCACTCATTTTGTAGCACATTAGTTTTAGTTGTACCTTAGAATTAGTTCTTTTTTCTAATATAGTAATGTTTTCTTATTATTATTCCTATTATTATTAGAATTTGTTGGATTTTCACAGCAAGTCAACTAGCTCACACATCAGTAGTTAATTGTTGAATATGAGTTAATGTCAGGGGCAGTGGTTGTCTGGTAAAGTCTTGTTTATTAAGTCAGTGAGCTTTTGTTCATGATGCTTTATGACCAAGTGATGCAGTTTACAGTAGATGCCAAGAAGATCTGGGTTTTATAATGAATACCGGGTTATTTTCTTACACATAAAATGTATAAGAACTGCATAAATACATCCCAGTCTACTAATACTAAAGTGTTAATCTCATCCTTGGGCATATTGTACTGTATGTATGTTACAGTACATGAATAAACAGATTAGGGTTTGAACAGTGTTGTTTTCTTCCTAACAACAGCTATATGAACACAGTTTCCCATTTTATTTTACATACTTTCATTCTTATTTATATAGATATAGGGCTGGTTGGATACCCTGGCTTAAAGGAAAAGTTCAACATTTAATATAATAAACAGTGGCCAGAGCCTTTTTACATGAGTGGCAGAGAACTTTATTTGGTAGACTTATTTTAAAGATAGGGTTTTATTTCTTATTTCCCCTGTTCCTTGGTTGATGCAAACTCACAACCTCTTCCATGTTTACCTTTTTACATGATAACGTCAGTATAAAGTCCATTTCCACGGCACTAATTCCATCAGTACAGCGAGATATATGTGAGAAAATCCACTTTTCCTTATTCCTAAACAATTTTAACTGCCATAAATTAAACTCAGTGCTTCCTCCAGAATCTTCACATTAAAAGTACTGCAGCCTTCCTCTTGTAGGATGTGAAAAAAACATCAGGAAGCTTTATTGACGGTAACTTAAGAAAGATCAGGAGTACAGAAAAGAAGAAACAACTATGAAAACATTATTTCTGTTAAAGAGAAACTCAAGAGCAGCAGAGTGGTGAGTAATATGACTCTGTTGTACTGATGGAATAAGTGCTTTCACTTGCCTGTGTTTTCTAATTCTCTAGTCTCTATTATTTGAGATTGACATTATTTGAATACCAGCTTTTAAATGAGAATTTACTACATTTACTTTCTTACCAAGGGTTAGTCGAGAAGATTGATGCCACTCTCACGTCTGTATGCTTATGATGAAGCTGTCATCGGCATGGCTAACATAACTTGGTAAAAAGACTAGAAACAGGGAACACTTCAGGTTTTTGTATTTAAAAAAAGAAATATAATGTGTTAATTAGTGAACTTGAGACATGCTATTAGGCTACATATGCACAGTGCCAGGCTAGCTGTTTCCGGTCTTTGTGCTAAGCTAATTTAGCTGGCTTTAACTTTATAGCATACAGACATTAGAGTGGTATCATGACTGTCATCTAACTCTTGCCAAGAAAAGGAGTAAGCATATTTCTCAAAATACTTACCACAGAGACATTTCATCAGCAGTAGTTTTAACAGAGAGTCAGCTCAGTATATATACCGTATATTAGATATTGGCACAAAATGAGCTGCAGAAATATTAGCTTTGGCGACAAGCCTCTAGAAGCCTAATGCACATACAAACACATACTGTACATGGCCTATTTATTTTGAATTAGAGTCATTCCATCTAGATTCAGAAGTAGAGCTTGAGTATAGGAGATTGGAGTCCAGATGAAAGCTTACATTTTTCTGATGTCCTGCCGTATGTAGGACCTAAAGGCAAATTTTCATGTGCCTAGCTGGCAATGATCACAGGTGCTGTAAAATAAGTTCTACATATTGTCAGACTCCATACACTCACATACTGTACACAGAGTGGTATTGAAAAATGGATGATCCAGGAGGATTTTTCATGACTCTTGATGGAGTCTCACATTCTCTGCTCAAACATGTAAAATTTATGCCAAATTTGGAGGCATATGGACACATGAGTGCATAAAAGAACAACACAGTGATGGACGGTACCGGTGGTGTTAGACACATTTTGGTTTTGTTTGCTGTTCTATGGTGTTTTTTGCAGTCGTTTGGCTTTGTAGAACAATCAAAACCCTCTTTTCCCTCCTCCTCCCCCAACACACACACACTCACACACACACTCACTTTTTCCCCAGTATTTGTATGTTCAGAGAAAAGCTTTTATGTAAGATGTATCTAATTAATGTTTCTATTTTCATACAGTTATATTTGGAATGTAAGTTAGGCCAGTAGTGAGGCCTGAGTCAATCTGGTTCCAGTTCAGTCAGTTCAAGCAGCCTAAATGAGTTTATATTTAGGGGGTCCTGCATATTCATTTGTGTCCTGTCCAGAGGTTTGTAATAACAAATGAAATCGGATCGAGTGATGCTAGAGAAACAGCAGAAGGGCTGTTACCTGCTGATGCATTAGCTCATATGAGACAGTGAAATTTTATTAGTATTGCGAACTTAGATCTATCTCTCTATCTATGAACTGACTGAATTGAACAGAGCTTGGCCCACACCGCAGTAAACTCTCCTCACCTCTGATATTTCTACTACACTTTATAAGTGTCTTAGTCCATTGAGATACTTCAATAAAAACAAAATCACTATTTTCTACATCTTAACGAAAATCACCTGTGTGTTTCAACTGACTGGGACCTGTATTTATAAAGCCTCTTTAGAGTCAGAGTACCAACTCAGGATCAGCACTGGCGAGCATAATGAACTTACTCAAGAGCCAATTCCGGAGACCTCCTCATCACCCCCATTAAAGTTTCCCGCAGCTTCTCTGAAAAGCGGAGCATCGGTCGCACCGACGTGTCAGAAAATCATGTATTACTCCTACTGCGAAACCAATTTTGTTTTGATTGTCAATGAGGTCTCTGGAGGGCGGGGCTGTTTAAAAAAAGCCACTCTGATCTTGGATCAGCACTCCAGGGGGAAATATTTTATGAAAACAGGATCTAGAGTGAAAATAGGTATCTTTTTTCTAGTGCGTGGTACATTGCTTATATTAATAAATAACGTTTTGGTCAAGTGGTACTGTGGAAGTCTTTTTCTGTGAGAATGAAGGTCTCTAAGAGTGTTACTGCCCATGTTGTTTACAGGCACAGGCGTGAAGTAAAATAAATAAGTAAATGTGAAAGTATCTGGGTCGTGTGTGTGAGGCGACACTATTATTCTATGGTGAAATTCCATCATTTGGGGTTTTACACTTCTGTCCACAAGTGTATCTAGTCGATATCCTTCGTAATATCTTTCTTTCAACTTTAGTGCCAGTCCCTCCTTAGCTCTGATCCCTGTAAATCATCACCGATTTCAACAGGATTTGATATTGAGACTCCTGAAGAAAAGACCCAACAAACATCTCTCTCTCAAAGCCACTGTTTAAATGCAAATACTGTTGGTGATTGATACATGATTAAGAGAATAACACAAGAAACTAAACGTACAAGCTAACTATAGTATTATATGCTGCAATTGCTAGAATCCCACGCTGGTCTGTCAGTTTTTGACACCTCCATTATAAGTCTGCATTATCTGCATTATGGCAAAGACACCACTTAACAAAACCATGTTAACAGCTTTTCTGCATCGTTGCCTTAATTGGAGAAGTGTTTCTTTTTGTGTGCACATGTATAGTAAATGATTGCCACTTATATCTCTCCACTTATATGTCTGTTGGAGATCTGGTACTAACTTAAGTATTTAAATTATCTGACTCATTTTCACTACTACAACCCCAGGCGGTATCGTCTGTAACCTTGAAATGACTACCAAGTTCAGAATTTGCACATTCATTGGTTTCATTAGTCCAGTAGTATTAGTTCTGATGGGCAAGTTGACAAATTAAGCTCCATATACTATACAATGAGTTACAATAGTCCTCAGGCAGTCTGCCTGACTAATAACAATGATATGGCTAATATCCAGTGACAGATGCATGAGCACATCATTGTTTTACCCTGAGTTTGTTGACCTAGTTTGAAGCGAGCGACATGAACAAGAGTACAAGCAAGAGGCAGACAAATAAGTGGAGTCAAAGGGTGGATGTTACAGCGCGGAGCTCCAACGCTGCCAAAATTGCAAAACTGGAAGAAGCTCCTGCCACCTACGCGACGCAAAAGCAGGATGGAAGGCGAACACGGTGGATATGGAGAGAACTTGTGCAGAGCTTTGTGTGTGTGTGTGTGTTTAACACATGGACTTGCTCATGCAGGTAAAGTGACAGCTTTGCTTGCAAGAAGAATGAACACCCCTTGTGAGAAAACCTTGGAATCGATGCATTTCTGTGTGTGCGTGTGTGTATTCATTCATGACTGCATGTATGGCTCAGAGAAGGGACTCTTTTTGTTAGTGTGTGTGGGTGCGTGTATACACTCACTTTTCCCACAGTACAATGACTTTCTGCTGCAATATCCAGGTCACACACAAGAGTGTAGAGAAAATTTAAAAATAGAAATAAAAGCCTGGGCCTGTATTTATCAAGCAGAGTAGGAAATCACTCCTAACTGGATGATAATTCTCCCTACTTTAAGGATTAGATATAAAAGCAATTGATTAACTTTCTTAACTTTGTCACTCCCCGCGACCCTGTACACAGGATAAGGGGTTGACGATGGACGGATGAAACTTTGTCAGTCCTATCATAGCTAACATTTAGGAGAGCTCCAGAGGTGTCTTAACCTGTTATGAGTTGCTGGAAATGGCGTTCAGAGAAAGATATTCTCTGAGAGGAGAGATGTCTTGGGAAAGCTTGATAACGTTAAGTTTATTAAAAGATAATTTTGACAAAATAAAATTGAGACTGACTTTGTGCAGGATGCAACACCTGATCTCTCCTTGCATCCTTACACCCTGTTTGGAAACGGGGACAATTAAGCTGAAACTTGTGGCAGAGCTAAAAAAAAGTCAAGCTTTTACTGCATTTATGCACCTCATAAAGGTAATGAGCATGATGGGGGTCCTCAGTAAGAACTGACTATGTCCTATGAATAATGAAGGATCTCTCAACTTAATTACATCAGTTAAAAATGTTATTGTATTTTGAATAATAGTGAGGCTATAATAATTGAGTAATATGTTGATATTGTTATAGTGTATCCCCCAAGACAAGGTGAAATTTGAAAAATGGAAGTGTTTCCTTGCATGTAGGGAACATTAAAGGGTGTAGCTGAAAGGGGACAGTAGAAGAGAAGATTAGGCTACAGCCAGCTGCATGATCACTGCATGTGCCGTTGCAATATGTGCAAGATGCGGCACTGTAAAATTATGCTGTGCTGGACAGCATGGAATAATTTCACACAGCTTGACCTACTATTCTAATGTACACATACAGGCAGCATTTATTTTTAAACCATGTGAGAGGCTCGCATAATGTTAAGTTGCACTCTAAATGGCATGTTGGTAAATATCAAGATGAGTTTTACTTCATTTTGTCATCATATTTTTGCACACTTATAAAACCCGTGATACATTACCTTAGTTATTAGTTATTTACCTATACACATAAAACCTACATAAAACATGTTCATGAAATAAATGTACAGTATTTCAATTTTTTTTTGTAGAAATGAAGAAAAGCTTACAGTAGTTTTTCAGCCCTGAGTACCTCCTCACAGGCAGCTTATAGCCCCAACATAATGCCTGAAATGTAAACCCCAAGGCAAAAAAGTCTGTCAGTCAGTAGCTGACTCGGTGACCCGCCTCCACGCATACTAACCCTTATTCCATGTTAAAGCAGAGAGTGTAACTGACTTCTCAACCTGGATGGAGGTTCCTGTCCCATAACAATGTCAAGTAGATGTGAGATTAAGCTTGGTATGAATTCAGTACCTGTTTCAGCTGAGGCGTGACAGTCACTTGATAATAGAGGGCTTTCAGGTGTAGTAATGCTTCCACAGGCAGCGTCACGTCTCGGGAAATACTGTCTGTGAAAAGCTGATTCCCGAACATTCGACAGCAAGCTGCTAAATTGCTGCTTTCTGTCCATCTTATATAATTGTTGTGATAATATGTGGATTCAAGATAAGAGACCTGTACAGCCAAACATGTGCTGATGCACGAGAGGCAAATAGGAGCTATTGGGGCTGTGTCACTTAGCATCTGACTAGCATATATTTAGCAATGAAAAGATTGACATGGCTAACTTGTTAGCACACATCTGTCGAAAGAACATGTTCCCCTCAATTTCCCCTCAATTTTCATAATCTTTTTTTATGTCCTCTAACTGTCGTTATTGTGGAGAGGTAAGTTCTTTACAGACTTTCTTTGCCCTGGGTTTCACCCCGATCTTATTGGTCAAGGTAATGTCATTGGGTGTGTATGCAGTCTCAAAGGAATACTTAAAGACAGTACCACCAACAGTACCACCAACAAAAATTTCTTGATTTGTCTCATGATTTACAGTGAATATTCCTGCTCGAATTAGTCAAAGATAAGACTGTAAAGCACAACTGTTGTTATCAGTTTATAATTTGCTAGATTGATTTAAATGTATGCCTGAAACCAAATCTATGCCTTTGCATTAATCAACAACATTTCTTCATTATGTTGACAGAAAACTTGATCCGGGCAACAATATATTTCTCACAAAACATATTTGCTGTGGCAAATCAGTTGTACTCAACATAATTTCTAGAAGACAGGGATGAAATAAGATACCTCTGAGCCAATCACATGCTGATAAATCCAATCACGGCTTTTAAGTCACTCCAAGAGTGGAGAGTATGTAAACAAAGGCAGAAGGTACAGTCAACTTGTCTTGTTCACATAAACAGATATCCTATGTGGATGTATTACTGTAAACACAGCAGTCAAAATTAGAAAAGATTTATTCAAACCACTGTAGTTGTATCATACCTGTAAAACAGCACATCTTGGCTGGTACCGCAGCTTATGTTTGATCTATACAATGCACTCAATTCAAAAAGCCTCATTTCTGACTTTCATGAATCTCAAGCTTGGAGATCTGAGGATTAATTTAAGATGACTAAACTATTATTTATCCATGCTTCTGCTAGAAGCCTGATGTTGACTTTTCTACTTTCATTTTTATTCTTTGCTTTCAAAGACTTTACTTTTCAGATTTGCCGAACCAGACACAAGTCGTAATGACTTTTCATCATTATGTAAACTGATGTTTTACTGATTTTCTGTCTGAGGTCAAAGTGATATATATTTCAAAAATCATAATCTTCTCTGAAAAGTAAATGAAAACTGTACAGTATGTATGCATTTATTATTATTTTAATTGAGTCTCTTTTTTGAGTCTCTTTTTTTTAAGAGTGCATGGTCAGAATGTAAATACTGTGTTTTTGTTCGTAATGTTAATTAAAGTCACATTAGTTTCTTATCATTATTTTCTGATAAGGAAGTACAAAAATTGGGATAAGAGAAAGAATTGGGTGAGATAGTACTGCTGCATGTCACTACCAAATCGATGTTGGCTGCCCAAAATCATGATGGGGTGATATGATGCTTCCGCATGATAATGGAAAAAATTGGGCAGGGGTCATTATCGTTTTTCACTCTCTCTTAAGCATCAGATTTTACTTCCCCAGCAGTTTTTTTTTCATGTTAATACAGATGATGCTATTAACTGATTTGAGGGAACTGTATGTGAAATTCATGTGGTCAGTAATAGGCTACTGATGCTCCTTTCCAATATGATAAATAATATAAATCAGTGTGTTTCAACATCCAGATGATTTATGATCAAAGGAAAGGGAATAGCAAATCTGGGTTAGCAACCTCCTTTGTCAGTCTCTGGAAGGATTTAATCATTACAGTCATGCAACACTGAGAACACATTGTGATTGACTCTTGATCAGTGTCAGTATCAAATGAATTCAGCTAGATATTCATTCATCAGCTGTAACAAGGAAAAGGCTGTAGTGCAGGCTGCACAAAGACCTGCTCAGCAGAACAGAAATAAGACTTACACAGTAAAGAGGGCAGTCTGTCATCTGTACTTGAAAGGTGAATTGTAATGAGTTCAAATTGTAAATTCCTGTATTCCCATG